TTTTTGTTCATGAAGCATCCAGTTGACGAAACTGAAATAGGGTGAAACTTACATCTATAATGCCAACTTAAATGAAAACTAAATCGACTGTAATATCAAGCCGATTCCATATGAATACATTTATGTTATACACGGAAGCTGATTCTTTATAGGGTTTTTTTTTTACATCAACATGTGAAATACACACTGTGATGTAATAATTTATTAGAGTAAATCACTTATTCCCAGTTATCACGTAGCGCTTTCCATAAATTATTACATTTTGTCATCTATACATTACAAAGAAACTCTAGTGCTTAAATCGTGAATCTTGCTTTTTACATTTTCCAGGTATTGGTACGCTATGGTATTTTTATCATGGTTATTAATATCTACTATCAAGTTATCGTTGCATCATTGTTTATTATTTTGGTGTAAGTTTTACGCATACATTACCTTGGACAGATGTAATCTGCCTGGAGTACACCTGATTGTATCGATTCAAAAGGTAAGTGATATTTATTGTCTAGGGTTAATCTAAGATCACGTTAGAAGAAGTGATCATTTTTAATTTATACATTGTAACCCTAGTAAGTTAACCGATCTCAGTGAGTAGATATATGTGCTCGTACCAATCTTCATCTGTTAAGTTTCCATATTAAATCATTCAGTTTACCAGCTTACTTGAATGTTTGAAGTATATATTTCCTAACTGTAGCTCGTATTCGATTTTTTTTTCTGATCTTTTTAACGTGATTCATTAATCGATAGAGAATGTACGAAGTAAAGTGTGCTACAGATTTTATTAACATCAAAATCGTTCAGTCATACTGGAACACAGTCATTGAAAAGCAATGTTTGTCAAATTTTCATCATACATTAGAGTAAGGAAAACACTGATATGATGAAAATATATGAGTAAGATCTTACCAGCATTGATAATTGCGTATTTGGACCATGTTTTTAATAAATAAATAGTTTCAGTTGATAAGAAGAATGCTTTTCAGAAAGGTAAGCTTTGGCGTACCTTTTGCGCATGATGAGAAATATTTCATAAATGATCACATACTGGACTAGTACTAACATTCCTACTCACTCCTGTTACCACTTATAAACCATAAGCTACCGTCCGAGAATCTTCAACCAACTCTGTTCTGGGCTCTCATTTCCCGTTGTACCCAAGTGCTATCCATTCTTTTGGTGTCTACCTCCAATTTCCAGCCAAATCTATTTTTTAGTTTCTCTCTCATCTTTGGCCTTGAAGGTCCCAGGTTGGGGTTTATCTTATGATACAGTTTGATAATTTGAGGGGTTAGTATTCAGTACATTCTTCTTTCATAATGGTTTTTATGATCTTGAATGGTTGTATTCGGTAGTTAGCATATTTTGAATCAAGCAGTCGTACTGGAAGACATTGATTTATAAGGTGAATCAACGTTGTGGTAATTAAAACCCGTACAGAGATTTCAACTCATAGCACTGAACTATTCTAGTAACTGAGAATGTAGTATGATTTCAAATAAGCGGCTAATGCTCACAATTTCTACTGATCAAGGTTTTGAAAAACTGCTATTTTGTTTAGACAGGAAGATCAACAGTATAACCTCAATAGTCATATTTTTTATTAATTCTGTTCAAAACTCTCAGCATCACAGTCACACGGGAAATTCAGTTAAAAATGATATATATATATATATATATATATATATATATATATATAGTGAATATAATGTCGAAACACTAAGAACGTTATTTAAGATGGCCGTATTTTCATACACGATCCGCAAGCCAAACTGATTTTTTTATTGAGATTATGAATCGACTGATGTTATACCAGCATCGTAAACCTGGAAGCACTGGAGGCCGTTTCGTCCTATTGTAGGACTCCTCAGTGTTGCTCATCTACTATCCTGTCCGCTGGACTTTGACCATGGACCTATCGGTCTTGAGCGCGAACGCCTAACCTCTAGACCACTGAGCCGGCATCCAACGCTGTTAATGTCTAAGTTCAAACAATCCACAAAATTGCGCAAACAACTTCCATTGTACTGAGGTAGATACCTATCTCTATCTGACATGGATTAGCTCCACATTGGAAGATGTTTGTGCAATTTTGTGGATTGTTTGAAGTTAGACATTAACAGCGTTGGATGCCGGCTCAGTGGTCTAGAGGTTAGGCGTTCGCGCTCAAGACCGATAGGTCCATGGTCAAAGTCCAGCGGACAGGATAGTAGATGAGCAACACTGAGGAGTCCTACAATAGGACGAAACGGCCTCCAGTGCTTCCAGGTTTACGATGCTGATATAATATCAGTCGATTCATGATCTCAATGAAAAACTTAGTGATCACCACAGCCTCATATTGATGGTTGATTTATTTCCTGGCTATTTTCTTATATCAACGTAGCCGCTTTTAATTTCTTTTTTAATTTCAACTGTGTTGCACATTGTAGCTGATAGTAACTTGGAGCTATGATCGCATTACCTGATCCGAAACATTTTAAACCATAACCTTTTTTATTCTAACTATGATAATGTATAGACTTGTTTGATACCTGATAAGCTCAAATTTAACAAGCTAATGGCTACAAGCTAACATATTTTATTTGATCTGTTCAAACTGTTCATCATGAAACTGCAATCGATAAGCATTTGTTTTGAATTTTATTTCAAATACGGACAACTGATCATGTACAACTAACTAGTATCATGTTTTGTGTTAATCACACTCTGCTAACAAAATCGTAATATGACCCATGTGTGTAGTATTCTGTCGATTAACTACAACCAACTAAAACAACTAACTATAGTTTACTAAGTATCTACTGTATTGGAATTAAACTTTGATTATTTACGTTAAGTTTCCTCTACTCTAAACTTTACTATTAAATTGCCAATTTGCTTCTATAAATTTTCCATCAAATTTAGGTTGTAACTAAATTAGAACTTGATTTAATTTGTCAAATTTTTTTCAAAATAGTTTACAAAGAAGAAGATGAAAATCGGTTCAATTTTAGTTATGTACACTAATCTAGTAGAAATGATACATCTTCACCGTTCAGGCTGTCAGTAATCATAATAAATTGAAGTCTGATAAATATTTTTTGTTTCCTTACTTATATAAATCATCAGTTATGGAGATTATTCATAATCCTGATATTTACTCTGTTGATTTATAAACTTTGACAAAAACTATTGTTCATTGCTCTGTTGTCCCTTTATATATTTCTTCTTGTTTAAAAAGAAAAGGGTGATTTCATATTATGTAAACACTAATGAAATTTCTCAATCAAGTTTTGATAAATCTAATCTTATTAACATGTTCATATTTTATGGAAGTGAGAATTTATTTCAATATCAAAGTCAAATAAAGTTGATTTATTTATGCATCAGTTTATTAAATTATTCATAAATATGTTTATATATATAAATATAGTGTGAATTTCTAAGACTTTGCACTGAATTACACTCCTTAAAAAATATGTAAATATTCTGTTTTGATTTCAGTGAATTACAGTAACATAACATATCCTAAATCGCCATCAGAAGATTATTATTTGTAAGTGAAATTATAATTTTATTGTTAATTTATTGATTTATAAATGTGGAAAAATTATTATGGTTGTTTTCTTCATAAAATAGTGATTGACTACCTTCTTTACTCTTTTTTACTGTACTCTACTTTGTTCTACTCTACTAAACCATACTCTTGGCTATCCTCTTTCTACTACTTTCTCACTATCTCTGATATGAACAAAAAAACATAATTATAATTGCATGTACTTTTTATATAATATAGCTTATTGAAGCCAGATAATATGCTAATGTTTTATTCCTTATGGTAAACACTTGGTGTTTATTCTATTCTATGGAAGCTTTCATGAAAACAAAAATAAATACCATGTCATATTGGTTTAGACCAATGTGAGTTTTTTATGCCTCAGTTGAATGATTAATTGAAAAGGTCATCAAACTGGTAACTGTACTCTAGATTGTAATAAATAATATATATCAGAAGGGGATTTTTGGAGATTTCAGTATCCTTCAAAGTTGAAATCATCAGTCAATTGAAGCTAGACAAACATCGAAAACCTGGAAGCACTGGACGGCCGTTTCGTCCTATTATGGGACTCCTCAGCGGTGCGCATCTACAAACCTGCTCTCGCGAGATTCGAACCCAGGACCTACCAGTCTCGAGCCGAAGCCCTTAACCGATGTTTTTCTAGCTTCAATTGACTCATGATTTCAACTTTGAAGAATACTGAAATCTCCACAAATCCCCTTCTGATTATAATCATATGCTCACTAGTGACTGACTTCAAGATACATGTCCTGGAGTTCTAGTGGGAAGCAGTGACCAGTGGAGTTCAACCACGTCTGTTGTGGTTTTCTTAGGGGGCCACACCCGGAGCCTTTGACCTAAATGTCTGATCCATAAGGCAGTGGAGCATCGTGAGGAGATGCAGTCCCATGGTATCCTGTGACCAACAATTGGTTCATACTCTATTTGTTCCCTCAGGATACTGGATCCCATGTGCACCATTGGTTTGGAATCAGGGTTTTCCAACTCCCCTAGGTGAACTTTCTGTGTCCACTAACCTGGTTAAAGCGCCGGACATTCGCTTTTCGTCCTCTCAATTTTGTAAACAACAGTAATGCCACGAGAAGACAGTGAGTAGGAATTCCCTTGCAGAGGCTACATACGAATTTCGAGAGGGAGAGCTTACTTTCCCCACTCTCGGCCTTACCAGGGCATTTGGGGTCCTTTCCTAGCTAGAACAGGCTCTTAATGTTTAACTCCAAAATATAAAAAAGCAGTCCTTGATCAAATAAAGTTTTTCTGGTTTTATCAAAACTAGTAATAATATGAATAACTCTAGATAGATATGGGATAATCAAGCTTAAAAATTACGTATAGTGAATATATTTTTCAACAATCTTATGACACGGAACGTGGATTTTCTTTTGAATTGTCTGACAAAACCATGCATGTGTTATTTAAGAGTGAAATTTTTGACTTAAACTTTCAATCTCCATTTATTTTGAATATATTGACAAGAAACAAACAATATAGAATATCAGTTTATGGAATAACATCAAGTTCAGGACAAAGTAAATTAACAAACTGATAACTTATCCACAGGAAATAAATTCTAACTGATTTATTTATGTTTTGTAACGGTAAAATATTTAGTATTCACGAAACGACCACAAAAATAAAAATAAACTGAGAATAATATTTAATTTATATATACTTTATAGTTATCAGGAATTTCCTTTTAAAATCATTTGCACGAAGTCATTATTAAGATACCAAGTTTTTTTGTATTATTTAGTAATCAAGTTCTTAAATTATCACCTGGTTTCGAAGAGTTCGGTGCACCAGGTTGGGAATTGTCTTTATGCCTTTTATTTTGTTGGATTTTGTGTGGACTGGCTGTTATTAAAGGTGTCCAGTCTCTTGGCAAAGTGAGTTACAAGTAAACCATTAAGAATAATCATTTATTTACTTATTTTCCGCTTACATTTCACCCTTAGATTATTATCAATTAAGTTCGAATGTTGGTAACATTTTTTAAAACTTATACAATGACGTTATTCATATTATTTATGTAAGGTAAATTAATGTAACGTCGGTATGATGTACTACCCATATATAATAGATGTACAAAGACTAAAACATATAAATCGAATAAAAGTGACATCAGGAGAAATACTATATTTGAATGTATAACTCATCTAAGTAGACTGAAGCGTCGTAAAAGCGTTGTATATATTTCAGCATTATCATCTCCAAATTCGTATATTTTAATTAGAAGCGTTTGTTAATATCAATAAAAGTTACTAAAAAAACCATCTATCGATAAAACTTTGTTCAATCATGACTATAATTGATACAAAATGTTGATACGAATATAAAAACTTTCAATACGCTTGCCCAACTATGCAAGTATAGAAGTCTGAATAATAACTAGGGACCTGTTATTGACGAAATGGAATAATTAGGCACACAAATCACTTATATATATTACCATATATATTACCATCTTACACATGATCATTTAATCTGAGTACTTGAGTTGATGCACAACCAATCTCTCCTAGTAACGTGTCTCCTTTTTAATTTCTCACAAATTCTTCCACGTTAGACAGCATGTATTCACAAGAATGTAGTAAGTTTAGCTTCACCGTATCCGTTAAGAGCGCTGTACAGTTTTATTTCCAGTTTGAATAACTATGTAGTGCAGAAGTCATTTTCTTGTTGTGTCGTTTATAGAGATTATTTTTAAGTAGGATCAGTGTAAGATATTTTATCTTTATTCTTAGGACCCTTCATAATTGTATATCCACGGCACCTTAATTAATCTAACTAAAGATAGATCCAAGGTCTCTGGTGTGCGGGCGAGAAAGATAATAATTGGTTGTTTACTTAGTCAGATGAGTAGATAGTCTGACAGGTACTATATTCTCTTACCCTTGCTATTATTAGTTTGTTGACGGATTGTTGTCGGTTTTCGGTGTGAAAATATATTTACGTTCTACTCAGGCTAATTACGTGTTACTGATCTGAGTTGTGTTGAAGTCCAGCAGAATAGACACTGGGAGGTAACCTAATGTAGATATTCGTCTAAGGCAAGTTAACGTCCCATTCGTGTAGACGATAAATCCGACTGTTATAACGATCTCATTTGAACCACCAAGTTTAATCCAACGCTTTATATCTCCATCTTCTATTAATTCTTGATGCGATGCGACAATCGTTGGTTGTTTGTTTGATTTATTTGTTCGTATATTACCGGTATGTTCTATTTAACACTGTTCATTAAACACCATTGGTTATTCGCGGTATAAATTTCATTTCGTCGATCTATTAAACCTTTGTTGCTAATGTACATTCATTAAATGAAAAGGATAAGATATAAAACTAGGATTTCATAAGTTCATAAACTTATTTGTAAGGTCTGTTTCTAATTACCAATATGAAACATAAACATTATTCGATTGTTCTATTGTAGGTTTCTTACTTCACAAGTGTATTTCCATATATCATGTTAACAATTCTTCTTATACGGGGAGCACTTCTTCCAGGCTCAGGAGCAGGTGTACTTTATTATTTGACACCTGATTTTTCACGACTAACAGATCCCCAAGTATGGGCTGATGCTGCTACACAGATTTTTTTCTCTTTGGGCTGTTGCAACGGTGGTTTAATAACTGTGTCAAGTTATAATAAATTTAAGAATAATTGCTGTAGGTAAGTGATTGGTATTGTGTAAAATCATTCAATATTTAATTTTGATCTTTACTGTCGAATGTAATTCAACTTTAGTGGTTTACATGACTAGTCGAAGATGTAACACATTTTGCATGTCAAGCTTATGTGAAATCTTAAAAATAATAGACTAAAATAATGATGGGCACAGATACACCGAGTTATTGATGTTGTTGACTGGGATGAAATGTCAGTCCAGTTATTTCAAGTTTTCAGCAACGTTCTGGTTAAGGTTAGTATTTAATTTGAAACCTGAGAGAATTTCATGATCAGTACAAATATTTATGTTGAAAACACTGTCAAGTTTGATTACAGATTTGTATATTGTTTGAATGTTATTATTTTTGTTTATAATACCTGTCAGTTTTCACTGTCCGATTTTCTTTCCTTGTTTTTCATCGTTTTCTACTTTCAAATCTTATTTCAAGACGTTTTATCATTCTTATCATTTATCTGTGAGGCAAATAAATTCCATGATAAACAAAAGTTATTCATGTTTAACTGGATTGTAAACCCGTATTCATTAAGCTTTAAATATATCGGAAATTAATGCCAGTATAATGCTACATGTTTTGTTATACCTGTTTGATTTATTAGTATTGGTGGTAGTTGTAATAACATTATTATTATTATTCTGTTACCAGTTTCTAAGGATTAGGACTCTAGTAAGTTTATATTACGAATTATTATCTGAATTGTTATTTTGTATGTTTCGTTGCAAACTAGTTCAGTGGATTTTAGTTGCTAGTTCTAAAACAGATCTTAAAGTTGTAATAATTACATTTTTCAGTAATGCAACAGTATATTATCGTCTTCTCATGCATATGATGAAAATGGGGATTTCGAAATGCTACTTCAGTCAGTCATTTTTGAAACACTTGGCTTCTATTACCATATTAGGCTGCTGGAGGTAGTCGACCGGAAACCTTAGACCTATTTTCCATTCTAACTGACACGTGACAGCAAGACGTAACTGTACTCTTGAGTGAATTGATGCTAACTGTGGGATTCGAACCCATGTCACCCAGCCCCAAAGTCTGAGAAGTGATCGCTGGCGTGTTCAGGTTAACATCACCGTTTATAGGATTCAAATATTTAAAACTGGCTTATCGTTCTGTATTGACGAATGTCAAAATTGTGTAATTCCTTAATGCTGACGTACATCATAAAACGTGATGATGCAGGTTAGTATTTTAAGTACCACTTCAATTCACTCTAGATTGCAGTTATACCTCCTGAAGGACAAACGGCTAGCATGAAGGAATATTTTTAGGGTTACCTACCAATTGATTACTTTCAAACACATACTGTCAGCCGAACATTTATTGTCGATTTAATTACACTATTAGTGTTGTCATATTCCAAATTGATCTAAAGAATTCAATGAGCATTAATCAACTACACATTAGTGGTTAATTAATTCTATATGTAATCATAGTTTACACATTACACAGTTAAATATTATTGTAATAATTCTCTCATCATTTACTTTCACAACTTCACCTTCATTGAATAATTTAAATAGAGATGCTGTCATTGTGGCAGTTATCAATTGTGCAACTTCTGTCTATGCTGGTTTTGTGATATTTTCTAATTTGGGTTTTATGGCTTATCAAAAAAATACAACAATTGTTGAAGTTGCATCCAGCGGTAAGTGACTTCAAATCGCATGTCCGTATGTGTATGTGTGCGTCTTATTCACAGTTCGAAAATTTCGTGTGTATTATTGTAATATAATTGTTACTGTTTTGTTTTCATTTTTATATTGTTAACACTTTCTGATGTTCTTGGGTTTTCGTTTTTCTCGTTTCTCATTGATTAATATTGACTCTATCTGTGTGTAATGTCGATTTGTTTGATAGGATTAATGGATCGATGGTTGCTTTTGTGTAATATAAATATTCTATTTTGTTCTGTTAGTGTGTGTGTTTATATTTCGTTCCTGTCAACATGAATCAAGTAAATCTGCATATTTTGCAATTCGTAGTGGAGTTCGTAAATTTATTTATACGTACTTCGGCATAATGACTTAATAATCGACTGGAGGGGTTTGGACATTAATATGGGTTAGATTGGCAGAAAGCTGGGGGCTGAAAAGCCAGGGCATAGACAGCTCATGAAGTCAGCGAGTTAGGGATTAAACCGTCTTCCTAGTTATTTGTGTTTGGGCCAGTTTTGGAACTAATAAATGCAGATTTTGCGTGATATCGATCAGAATCGATAACATTAACTCAGATGTATACATTCTTGGCATTCCGATATATCTTGAATTTTAAAGAAACGTTATGGTATGGAGCTTGCGAATTCGCTTATTTCTTTCAAATCATATTGCCTTTTGGACAACCACAAATACTAAAACTATTCTGTCATTTGACATGATAATTTATTATTGTGGTGTTGTAACGATGTCGCAGCTTGAATCAATGAACACATGTTCCCAATTTTGCGTAATTTTTAATCGACCAACTAATAATCATGAGATACGAGAAACTACGATGGACATCACGCAACTTTGATCTGTCGTTGCTTGCTTCAAATGTTAACAAAAGAAGAGGAGTTGTAGGAAAAACGGTTTCCATTTAATTTCGACGCTTTAATATTATTCTAGCAACGGTAGGCTTAAAATCTAATGTTATAAAAAGTTTTTTAATGAACATATGAATATCAGTTTTCAAGTTGTGTATGAGTTTTTTCAATGAATATATTGACCTTTCTGTTAAAAAATGTGAAACTGCTTTAGGCCGATTGTTGAAATAGACGTAGTGTATTGAGAAAAACAACCGGAATTTTGGAATGTGGTAAAGAATTATGGTGAAGACTACGAATGTTGCAAAGGTGATATAAGATCACGGTAACAGTTGACTACCTAAGCTCAGAATAGGTTTGGCTTCTAATTCATTTGATATCGTTTGTTTAAATCTTCCTATTAATGTTTAGGACTGCAATTGATCAGCTGATGAGTTCCAAATAGTACGAAAAGCGCGTCCTATATTACTCTGCTAGCCACCATCCATCTTTGCATATAAGGCTGGGTTTTGGATGATATATTTCATAGCTGATCAATTGTCCGAATGATGAATGGAAATTAAGAGAGTCATTAAGAACAGTAGTCTTCTAGGGAAAACGTCGGGACAGTTCAAGAATCTGATAGTTTGAATTTTCCCATTGATGTTTAGCACTTTATTTGATCAGTCACTTTTTTGCGAGTTCCAAAGTGCGGTTATGTCCAACTGATGAATCTCAAAAAGGACGAAGCCGGTGCCTTGGATTCCACTGCTAGCCACCATGCTTCACTATATCTATAAAATTCTTGAAATGGTTGTAATGATAAAACCAGAAATCCAACACAAGTATTTTCATGAATGCGTGATCCATCTTTGCTCATGATGCTTGTGACTTAAGGTAATATCGAGGCAATCCGCACAGGATGCACATATGCTACATTGAGACTGATCAATTGCAGTCCTAAACATCAATGGAAAGTTTCAAACAAACAATCCAAAATGAATTAAAACTTCACTTCATTGCACAAGCTAATGACTTATATTTTCTGTCAAAAGTACTTCGTGAACGTATAATGGAGGCGAACAATAAGAGACGAAAAAGATCCATGTGACCTGGAGTGATAGAAATTGTCAACTAAATGAGTAATAGGTGACTCAATTTCTATAAGCATGCGAGAGATACAGGTAAGTATATATCCACATATGTACTAGCATACACATATATATGAAGTAACTTGAAGGTTACATGTGGTCCCAAATATGAATGATAGGATAAATGAAAAGATTGGAATGGTCCATTTCGACGTCAAATGCTTCTAAATGCTACACATTTTTGCTTATGATTAAACGATAATTTGCTTTTATTAATCTTATGGCTTCAAAAATGTCTTCCTTTCAAAAGCAGGTGACTTGTTTTTGAATAGAAAATCGTTGAAGTATAATGTCTTTTATCCATTAGTTATTTTATTTTTCAATGATAAAGTTTCAGAATCATTATTTTTATTCTTTTCATCATCAAGGTCCTGGACTTGCTTTTATTGTCTATCCTGAAGCAATGACAAATATGCCACTTTCTAGTTTGTGGTCGGTTTTATTCTTCACAATGATGTTAACGCTTGGTTTTGGTTCACAGTTTTCTATATTGGAGACCACTCTTTCTGGTATACAGGATGAATTCAGACGATTAGGTGTTCATCTAACAGAAAGACGTAAAATTGTGTTCCGGTAGGTGTTTAAACTAAGCAAAAACTATTAGCATCGGGTGTTTTTGTGTTTGTTAGAAGTTATTGGAATTCAGAGCCAACCCAAACTAGTATACCATTGAAAATCAGGATGTACTGGACAGTTATTGCGTTCTATCATTGGACTATTCACCAGTCTGTATATACGATTCGATTGACATTAGATATGTTAATCTCCAGATACTAGCTCAGTGATCTAAAAATAAAGACTCTTATTGAGACCGGAATATTCTGGGCTCGAACCTAAGTAGGTTGTAAATCCTAACTGCGTAATTGTCCCGTACTAAGACGTAAGATCTATTAGACGCTTCCTGGTTTTTAATGCTCCTTTAACCAAAGTCTCAACAGAAGAACTTCTTTATTTGTTTCAGTTTTTTTAAATTTTTTTGCTTCTTTAATTTGTGTATCATGAAAATAAATATTACATAAGTAACTCTGATATTTATTGGTGATACACTCCTCATAAGTTTGCTTTTCCGTTTTAATTACTTTTTACTAGTTCACATGAAAACAATCTAGGCTAAAATTTCAAGTCCACATTGTTTAGATATGCAAAATAAAGATCTGTTTGTGTATAGATTTATTCAAATATGATTAGGTTGTATGTTGAAAGAAAAAAACGAATAAATACTCAGGTCAGGCAAAACAATAAGTCTAATGTTTCAGAAAGGAGAATTGCGAAAACGAAACCATTTTACTCAGAATACGGGAAATTGAGGTCAATTCTTTTTCTTTAATTTCAAATGAGAAAATTGATCCAATGAGGTTAATTTGTTCGTTTCTTTCCTTTCAAACTACCTTTCCTGTTCACTTTTTTTTCTTTATCTCTTGATCCTAAGGTTATTAATAATTTAACATTAATCGTAAAAACTGATCTGTTAGTCTTAACACATATAGAATAAAACAGCTTTAACATTAGTACATATTGATTAATTTCAACCTGGAAAATGTTAGAATAAGTAAGGTAGGGATTGATTATAGCTGATGGAATTATAATGTCATTTAGGTGATTGTACAAAACTGATTTGTGAACAGATTTTAGAAACTACTTAGTGATTTATTTATAATTCAACACCATAAATGATTTATGGGATATTTTCACTGCGACTGCTAATGACATATCACACTTGGAATTTGACTGTGGATGCTGAGACTGATGTACATTTTTAATAGGTTCTTTGTTACTTTATTATTGTTTAATTGACTGACTGGTGATGATGTATAAATTTAAATTTGACGATTATATCGAGAAGATGCATAACTTAGGGAATTCTGCATCTTTTGGACTAGAGAATATATTCACACAAAAAAACGATTTGATAACATGGTCAATTCTCTTTGTTGAATCTTATAACTAATTGCATAATCAAGTGATTAATATTATTTTGTATTATATAATTTGTTGTGTTGGTTATTCTGTTTTAAGTCACATGCTATAGATGTTTTTTCTAACTTCTTATTCTCCTTTTAACTTTTATTATTCACACACATAAGCTCTTTTTAGAAAATATGATATTTAGCATTTAACCTGAGTTTAACTCTTAAAAATCCACTAAAAATATTTATTATAATCATGTTAAAAATTCTCATTTCTTTATGATAAAATGTTTAATATTTAAGTGGATTTCTTACGGAAGTTATAGTTTTTATCTTTTATGCTTCATACAAACGATATTGAAGTATAATTTTACATTGATCAATGTAAGCGTCTCAGTTCAGCATGGTGAGATAATTAGTCAATGACACAACAGCTTAGTGGTAACTTATATAAATGAAACTGGCTTAAATCTTATATAGAGCAATAATTTGGTCAAAGAACTTAAGAAATGTTTTGCTATAACCGATGGCAGTTAGATTTTTAGATGCAAATCAAATATTTTACCAGTAGTTAAGTAATATTTTTTTATTCAGTGAATTATTCAAATAATTTCTCAGAAAAAAATCAACAGTGGTGAAATTATTCTTACTTAAACTATTTTCTAAAATACATTAAGTTTATCAGATTTACACTTGTCATGAAGTCACATTTGTCAAATTTCATCGGATATCGTTCGATCTAACAGTTTATGTACATATGATATTCAATGAAGGACAATGTGTTGGATTGGACAACACGTGGAGTTATAATGTTAACATTGTGTTCAAGTAATTCGAAAGTAGGTTAACTAGTATTGTAAACAACGAAGACTTGATAAGGTAAAAGCCAATTTTTTGATTTATGCAAAAATCACTCTATGCTTCTGTAGAATATGAAAATAAAACATTAAATGTATTATCTGCATATCTTCCTCGTGTTCTCTTCTATATACTCCATAGTTCTTCTAATCCTGTTTTTTGATTGCTCTCTATTTTTCACCCTCTTCTTTTTATTTTATTCTTCTGTTAAGCATTCCACTTCCTATTCCTGCTACATGCTACTTATGTCTGTCCTCATTAATAGCGCACACCACAGTATTTTTGATAGTGGAACATTTTGTCCAACTCATTCCACCATCTATTCTTTTCCTCAGAATTAAGTCATAGATTTCGTTGTCATACATATTCAGTTTTTCACGACTAAGGTAAAATATTGGGTTAATCGGCAATAACACTTTAAATGTGTATTCCTGTAGTTTTTACAATGAGGAGCTTCCTTTCAACATTCAAACCTGATTAGATAAATCACGATTTCCAATATGAAGAAACATATGATACATCACGTCATTACTAAAAAACACAACCATTTTTGTAACAAAACCTTGAAAGAAGTGAATGTATATGTTTGGAAGGAATCTACGGTAAAGTCGAGTATATGACTGTATCACGGAAAAGTTGATGTTCGCATCTCTCAGTCAAATCACGACATACTGTTCTTTAGTTTAAGTAGTTCATTAGAATGTAGATTACTTCATGAGACAGCAAATAGTTCAAATTCTGAATGGTTAATTGTGAATACTTAAAGTGTTGCACAATATGTTTGAAGTAAATTATCGAACTTTCTCCTAAAAGTGAACCAAATATATGATATTTCAATTTAGTTGGGTGATAGTTACCTGCCCTTTTAATCGCAAAAATTACGTGGATATGAATGATAAACTTGTTGATGCTATAGTATACAATAAATAGTAAATATGATCTTATGAAAAACAATATCAAACAAATATTCTCCGTTTAGTTACATAACTTCACGTTCAAATTTGTTGTATTTGCATTAGTGAATTAAATATGTTTAGTATATGTCAGTTTTCTTCACTACTGTTTCCACCCAAATAATTCCCCATAGCTACAAATAATCCTCAAAGCATTTCGTACTGTTGCATTTTTTGAAAATATGACCCCATATAGTATGAAGTCAATTCTTAGTTTATCCGATCTATTTTTAATTAATTTTTTTACATATTTACAGGATATCAGTATGTTGTTTAAATTTTTTCATGGGATTGCCAATGGTTTGTGCTGGTGGATATTATCTTGTAACAATATATGACAGTGTAATGAGTGGTTATGCTCCATTGATTGTTGCATTAAGTGAAACGGTTGTCATTACATATGTATATGGTAGGTCAAATGTTAAGTACTTTATTCAACATTTAGGTTTATTTTGGTTATTTCAAATGTGATAAAAATGTTTGTTTTTTGTTGTTTAGTAGTAAATTGATTAGGTACTAATTACGATTAAGGATTAAATTGGAAATACTAAAATATTAACAACATCTATCAGTAGCTTTATCTTTATTGATTCTTTTCATTATGAAATAAACATAAACTTGAATAACAGTTAAAAAATAACGAATTGTTAGTTTCATGATTCATAAAGAAAATTGAAGATTTTTAGCCTTACCTAAATCAAGGTAAAACTTAGAATACTGTTAACCAGTCAGTAATTTAAATTAACTTCAGTGAATTTAACAGATTGCAAAGATCTCCAATTATTCACCTCCAACCACCTAGAGCACACGATATCATATCACTTAGCCTTGTGTTTACACTTTTACTTTGATCGATAAAGTTCGATCCACAGCAAAAGAACTAGACTAATTTGGCATAGGATATTAACAAATGTTTAATCAAATGGTTATTCTAAAATTAAGATTAAGACCTTTACAAGTCTTTACGGTTCAAACTTCTTGAAATTGACTGTAAAAATTGACATTGTGAAAAAATTCGATGTTTAAAATGTATGACTGTCCTCAGAAAAACAAATAACTTAAAATTAATTCAAACTAACCGCCTAAACGTATAATGATGTGTATTTAAACAAGCCTTATAAAAAAAGATAGATGGTGGCTTGTGACTGAAGGCAATATCGAGTCGATCCGCCCAGGATACACACATGCCAATAAAAGACTGAATAATTGCAGTCTTAAACATCAATGGGAAGATTTAAACAAACAATACAAAAATGAAGTAAATAAGTTTTCGGGAAACATTGAATGCTCGTATAAATCAACATTTTAGAAAATGGTCTCATTGATGTTTATTACAGAAAGCTGATTATTATCTAGTAACTAAGCTTTCTCTGTTGGATGCGTTTTCAAAGAGTTATTTCAAAATTGCGTTAGTTAAAGTTTTATTAAAACAAATGATGAATGATGTTTATTTCATTCGCGGGATAATTGTCTTTCAAGTCTAGCTTTCATTGACTTGATGTATTTGACATGTTTGCCTTATTCATCCGGATCTGTTACAAATGGGTTGTACGTGACATCATTCACTTCAACACTTTGTCCAGTATAGCACTTTGTAAAACAAAATTTGATACTCAGCTTAATACAGATTTTTTCATTCAGTTTTGATCCACACTTTTTGTGTCAGAGCAATTGTTACTTACCATTAACTTTAACTGAAGTGTGTGGGTTAGAGTAGAAAAGAGAATTTTTAGGCAATAATTCTTAGACCGAAATACATTATTTCAGTTATTAAATGTCAGGAAAAAAGGGTGACAGCATAGGATGATTTATAAATAATGTAAGCGAAGTTCTTTACACAAATTTATACACTTTTCTTAAAACAAATATCGAATTCATCCATCCTATTACTTAGAAGATTTCAATTTCTATAAATAAAAAGTGACTGACTGACTTACATGGCAGGATAATGTAGACGGTTTTATTGGGTGCTAGAATCATATCAGGTCGCAACATAATAATTTCATCGATTCATAAACTTTTTATATAAGTTCATTTTACATCAAGATTTCATTTATCAGCTTTACTTCATCTTCAATTATATTATCTTTGCACAGATGCGATCATTTCTGTGAATTCGGTGTTTAACTTGTGCTAATGAGGTGTGACAACTTGGACCGATGCATATATGAGCCTAGTCCTATGTTGTAGCTGACTGACTGAAATTCCTGTTGAATAGATACTTTATCAAACCTTGTGTTATATTGTGCCGAACAATAGCTATGGCCACCTAGAAATCTCCCACTATCAACGTAGACAGATTGTTTAATTGGATGATCTTTTTTTTTGACTAAAAAGTACCACGTTTACAGATTTACTTGTATGTTCATACCTAGAATGGAGTAATCGTTATTCCGAAAATTAATTGTTGTCTATTATAAAAGTTGAAAAATATACACATATTTTTTATATAGTGATAAATTTATTATTTAAGTTGCATACTATCAATTTTGTTAATTGAATCACTCTTATCACTTAGGTTTAAAACAATTTCGATGTGATATTGAATTAATGATAAATGAACGACCTAATTGGTATTGGCGTATTTGTTGGCTTGTATTAACACCAACGATTTGTCTTTTATTAATTATTTCTGTATTAACAAATCGGATTGAATTAAAAGAGATGAATTATTCTTTCCCACCTTGGACATATGTATTATATCACTTATTATCTGCTGGGACTGTATTATTAATCGTTGGTTGGTTTATTTATAAATACTGCAGTGAAGGTGGTTTTCTGGTAAGTGGCTTAATGATAAGAATTTATTTCTTGGATCCCTTCTCTTCGTTGTAGCTAGAAAAACACTTGAATAACTAAATGTTAGATAATTGTTTTATTCTAAAGTGAGCAGCTTGAATATTTTATCTCAACTATGCAACGAAGTGAAATGTTTCACAAACTCCTCTCATTAATCTGCATTTAATAGGTATACGACTTTTGCTTTGTTTTCGTGGCTTGAAAAGCTATTTTACCTTTTGTTCAAGACTCATCTTCTGTATGTAACAAATACACACAGTAGATCAAGTTCAGAGATTTGTAGATCTTTCATTTTGAGGGTGATATCCTCAATGTAATAAGCCGGAATTCAACGAATAATCACTTCTAACTTCGGTCGACCCCAATGCAAGAAACAAATCAGTGAGGCAGAATTTCATGTAGTTTATTTGTTGCCGCTACATACTATACAGTAATAACTTTGTTCTGCACCACAGTTATCAATTATAATCTTTAGATTTGATTGATAATGGAAGGACTACAATTTTTGTCAGTCTACTGTTAGAATTATCACTAAATTATTCGTCAACTCATAATTTAGACTATTTTTAATGATAGTTCATTCTTGTTTATTGAAACAAACAAAAAACATACATTGATCCTATGTATTAAATACTTAACCCTGAAATTCAAATTTAGGGACAGGTTGTTTAAGTTGTTTCAATCACTATAAATTGTAATAATAAGTAGTATGATAGTTTCACGGATAGCCTACTAATCTGAGCTTCTTCAAGGAAATAGTCAGATACAAATTCATTAAAGAACATTTAAGATTTTTAAAAAAACTAAATCTTCCTATAACGCTTGCCAAATCAAGTTCGGATGTTTATTTTGTGCATGATTATGAGATTGACGAGAGAATCATTTACAATGTGAAAAAGTGCATGAATCTCTGTGTCTATATACAGATTCATATGCTCTTGTCATTTTAAAAAGAATACTGTGAGGTATAATGTCTCTGACTGCTATAAAAGATAAATTCATCGTTTTGCTTTCCATATTACTGATGGTATCTATGGTTAAATTAATCTAGTCAAAGCATGTATTAATTGAAAATAGTCGTATAGTATCCAAAGTGGTAATCACATTGTTTTTGTGTACTTTATTTATTTTCTTTCTTTGTTACGGCTTACCTTAACCTGTCTAGTTGACCTTTTAATTTTCATATAAAAATGTCTTAATAAGTATGTGTGATCAGATTGTTCGAAATGTATTGCGCAAATATATCACATAATTGTGATAAACTTCGTCTTCTCATTGCATTATCGAAATTTATCAAAGGGACTAATTGTTTTAAAATAAAAGAGTTTTACATAATTATTAAAAATGGCTAAACTTATTCAAGTGAAAGTCACTCAAAATCAAGTGGTGTTGCATAACAATATAGTCAAGCATATTAAAAGTCGTAAAGTATTTTAAACAATCACTTACAAATGAAAGGGTGTTATTCTAATGTAATTAATGTTTTCAAGTGCTGAATAAGAAAAGTTACGTCATTTTACAAAGTAATCATCAATCATTAAGATGATGATTTTGACAATGATGATAATGATTTTGCAATTCATAAAAAGTAGTAATCTATAGAATAGATGACCGTCTACTGTATTAAGAAGAAGACAATAAATAGGAATTATAAATTGTAAAGTTTGAAGCAATAGTAAGACCATGACAGAATATGAAGTTGAATGTGATTTTTATGTTCAGGTTTGGAATGGTGAATTTCTATAGCCTTGTCTGTGCATAAATTCCTGATTCAAACCATTTTTCAGCAAGTTCTTACTTTGTAAAGGATTTTTGGCGTAGACTCGTGTGGTGAGTTGTAATCTGAATTGACTATCTGTTTGACGACTGAGCTCTTGATTGTGTAGTAAGCCCTTTAGATAACTATACAGGGTAGTGCATGGATATTCCTATACCAAGTGCGCTCATTGTACGGCCAATGTAACCTGTCCCACAAGAACATTAAATTACCCATAAATGCTATTGTACAGCTTTAGAAAATGACATCGTCGAAAAATAAATATTTGTTGCTGAGATGTTTTTTTCTTTTTAATAACCTCATAGTTCATTAAGACGTCAAATTAAAGATAATCATTGATAAATTCAAACATAATCACTGAATAAGGTGCTACGTTTTATCAGTATAGGGTTTCGGAGATTGTTGAGGTTTAAAAAAGATCATGATGTTAGACCATAAATGAAAACCTGGAAGCACTGCATGGGCGTTTTGTCCTAGTATGGGACTCTTCAGGAGTGCACATCTATGATAAGGCGTGCTGGATGTGAACCAAATTGCCCCGGTCTCAAACGCTAACGCTTAACCTCTAGACCGATGGGCCGTCATCCAACAGTGTTAATGTCTAACTTCAACCAATTCACGTTATTGTGCGACAATCGTCTATTGTCTTCTGTGGGTAACTGTCTCATATCCTACACGTTTGAACTCCATTGGTCACGGTCCCTCGCTAGAACACCGAGAGGTACCTTTTGTTAGGACTAAGATACAGGTAGTATAAACAGGTTAAATATTAAAATTTATGTTTTTAATTTGATAATCACCGTTTACCATTGATTAATCAACTGAATTCTGTCCCTTCTGTTGATAATGTCAGACATGTTGTAACATGATTTCCAAACATTATATATTCTGTGACAAATTTAATTCTAATTATCACAAGGGGGGTTTTTGTGGAGATTTAATAATTTTTTATAGTTAAGATCATGAGTCAATTGAGGCTAGACCACCATCGAAAACCTGGAAGCACTGGACGGCCGTTTCGTCCTATTATGGGACTCCTCAGCAGTGCGCATCCACGAACCCGCTCTCGCGAGATTTGAACCCAGGACCTACCAGTCTGTCAGGTAGAGACAGGTATCTACCTCAGTACATTGGAAGTTGGTTGCGCAATTTCGTGGATTGGTTGAGGTTAGACATTAACACCGTTGGATGCCAGCTCAGTGGTCTATCGGTTAAGGGCTCCGCCTCGAGACTGGTAGGTCCTGGGTTCGAATCTCACGAGAGCGGGTTCGTGGATGCGCACTGCTGAGGAGTCCCATAATAGGACGAAACGGCCGTCCAGTGCTTCCAGGTTTTCGATGGTGGTCTAGCCTCAATTGACTCATGATCTTAACTATAAAAAATTAATTCTAATTATTTTCCATGGAGTAGTTTTAAACTCTAATCACTGGGATTACATTATTTATATATTTTTCCCATACCTAACTGAGCATATGATTCAAACTATTTTGTACATTGTATAATTTCACATCAAGTATTTGCTTTATTATAAGTAAAATGTAATTATTCACTTTTATTTTCTAATAATCTACTGCCATTACATCTCCAGACGTTACTTCACTGCATTATGGATAAGACCTGTAGGTCAAAAGCTCTAGCAGTACTGGATCCCTGCTTCGATTCAGGCTCCCGGACATTACATCAACCCTCACAAAAGTCGGATTATGAAGTGCAGCACATGTATATTTGGCGCCTCCCTGAACCAGTATTCTTGTATTTAAGTAAACAAATATAAGATCTTAAACTATAAGAGTAACTACTGAAAAAAGTACCATGAATGTTTCAGTTTCATGTTGAACTGTGTAATTCACAATTAACTATTAAATGAAATCACACTTCATTTTTATTAATGAATTAAACTAAAAAACGATTCATTTGAAAACAGTTCATTCGTCATTTTGATATCAATAGACCATTGTCTCCATTTTTTTTCTGTATGCATCAGTAATATGATTTGTAATAAGCAAGGAAGTATTGTGTTGTTTTGTTTGACAACTGTGTTCTAAGTATATTGAATAGTTTTGTTGGATTTTTATTCATTTATTCTTTTGTTTATACTAACTTTTATTCTAACCTGAAGATAGGAAAGCTGATTTTTTCCCTACATTTAACATATTTGTCAAGCGTTAATCATCACATTGAATCTGACTAAAGCAAACCTTCAAATTAAGAATGAATTAGTAGTAGTCGTCGTCATGACCTTTATATTATTTCAAAGTTCAATTTCTTACGTGTTGATGTGCTCAGTCGTAAGTTTTCAACTTTGAGAAATCTCAAACTTGTGAAAAACAATAGTCCAATTTATACCATCTGAAATTTAACATTAACACTACAAGCAATTTGTGGAGGTTATTGAATTTTAAAGTTTGCAACAATGAACATTTTAGTTAAACTGTCATTAAAAATCAAGAAACGTTGGACAGCTAACTTTTTCTACTATGGATCTTTTTTAAGAACCAACCTGTGAGTCCTATACCTTCAGGTCTCTTGGCAGGTGCCTGACCTCTAGGTCAATGAGCCTTTATCTAATGATCTGCGTACGTGTTTCGTTGTGAAGTTCAATACTGAGATGAAACAGTTGTTCAATGATTCTTGGTTATCAATAGTTGTTCAACTTGAAACAGTTAGCAATCACAACAAAATTCATATTTTGATGTTTTTCTTTTTAAAAACAATTAGTTTTAAATAAATAATTTTTTTCTTTTTTTCTTTAAATAGTTATTAAAAGAATTCCTAAAACCCGTACATGAATGGGGACCAGCCGATAAAAAACATAGAGCTGAATTTATATCAATGATTAAATCTAATGAATCACGTATTAATGAAGCTGGTGGCAATACTTATACGTCACCAATTGGTGGACCAAATACCATAGAAGGTAGTCAATTACAACTAGGTTATGGATTAAATAGTTCACTTAAAAGTGGTTTAGCTGCTGCTGGTGTTATAGATGACACTAAATTTTTCCAAAGTAAATTAAATGTCGCTGAAAAACTTACACATGCGCATACAAAAGAAGTAGTAAAACGAGTTGTCAGCAATGCAGATATTAATCCAGCTAATGCTGTTGCGTTATTGTCAGCAAGTCAAACAGTAAGTTAACATAATTGTTTTTACTTATAATTACTATATGTTTTCATAGCTTAAATTAAGGCCTAATGAGATCACTGAAAACTTCCAAGAACTGGACGGTTATTTTGTTTTGGTATTGAGACTCGTCAGTTGTGGTCAATGGTGTTCAACCATCCTCCTGTCTCGTATTCTGAGACATTACCATTTGGTTATATGACTTGCAACTGAATCCCTATATGATTGAGATGTTCACAGTTTGGTATTTGGTTCTTCTCTCCAGAATGCGAAATGTTACTTTAGGATTTACTTGCTTCAGCGGTTGAATAAATGATAAAGAGTGAAGTCGTTGAATGCATCTACCTAGTCTCTTATATTAGGAGTCTCATCAGTCCTGATGTTTCCGTGTCTGATGTGATTTTGACACTGATTCAAAAGGCTCTATAGGGTATTGCCGAATAACATCAGTTGTGGAGTAGGCGAGATATCCGTCTGAGAACTCAAGACAGTTTCAATGCGTTGCAGTTCACTCCATTCTAATTTTTGCATGAGAAACTGAGTAATCTATGTCTGGGCTAGGAATATGGTACCAGTCAAGGATGACAAATCGATTGATGAGAGAGTAAATATTTACCGATGAAAGTGGACGTGTCAACAGGTGTAGACCACCAGGTTGGGGTCCTCCTTATTATCATATTCAGTACTTAAAGACTTTCAGTGACACAGCTCAAAATCATTTGCAATTTTACAAATGTATCCATTCTTTTGTCTTCTCAAAAATTCTGAGCTCTTGAATTTCTCATAACTTTTCGTATTTTTTTCAATTTCACTAGTTTATATCTTCGATCGTGTCTTCGATGATTATTCTGTATATCCCAACTGATACTGTCGCTGCCTTTGCTATTGTGGGTTTTCTCTTGATAATTCGATCTTTCTATGCTAATGAGATATGGCCACTTGAACCACTGTACATACGTATTAGATTCTACGTTGTGAAGCCCCCAAATGCCCTGGTACGGCCGAGAGTGGTGAGAGTCTGCTCTCCCTCTCGAAATGCTCTCATATGGCCACGCGTATATAGCCTCTGCCAGGGAAGTCCTACTCACTGTCTTCTCGTGGCATTACTGTTGTTCACAAAATTGAGAGGACTAAAAGCGAATGCCCGGCGCTTTAACCGGGTTGATGGACACGGAAAGTTCACCTAGGTGAGTTGGAAAACCCTGATTCCAAACCAATGGTGCACATGGGCTCCAGTATCCTTAGGAAACAAATGGCATATGAATCCATCGTTGATCACCGGCTACCATGGGACTGCATCACCTTAAGATGCTCCACTGCCTTGTGGACTAGACCTTCAGGTCAAAGACTCGAGGTGTGGCTCTCTAAGAAAACCACCGGCTTCAGTCCGGGCACCTGAGCAGTATTACAGCCCTCACACAAATCGAATGAGATTTGTGAGGCGCATATTTATCTGGTGCTTCCTTGTTCCAATATTTATGTGTTTAAATAAATAAACTACGTTGTGACTGGTCTACTAACTGGCAGACAAATGAATAAGCCTTGAATACTAAACAAATATATTTGTCTTAATCCTTAATTCTGATACAACTTAATCGACCAATTAAATGTACTACATTTGCAGTTATATATATATATATATATATATATATATATATATATATATATATATATATATATATATATATATATATATGGCTTAATCTATTTTATCAACACTTTGTTTTAGGCATTAGCTGCAGTTAATTCCGTTGCTCTGCTTGGTTCACAAGCGTTATCTGGTTGTATTCCAGGTAATACAAACATTGATACAATTGGAATAAAACTGCCGGAACAGTTTTTCATATCTTCAGACTGTGATGAAATGAATCAATCAATCAAATCTACGGATCAATGAAAAACATCAAAACAATACACTGATTGCTTTTGCATATTTTTTTCTGAAAGTTTATCCTATTATTATACAATACATCAACAAGTGTATCTGTGTATGTGTTGATTTGTTTCTTTATTAAATCTGATTTATTTTTTTAATGAAATTGTAACGTCACTAACTGAGTGTTTGGAAGTTATTACACAAAACAATCCATCCACTCCATACACCCATTTATACACAAATTATTAGTCTAACCGAGTAAATCAAATAAACTTAAATTTTGAAAAAAAATCACTATACACATCTTTTGTTTCGGCTTCTTAATGCCAATTCCATTGCTTCATTTTTAATTCTCTCTATTGATTTATACACTATCTACTACTACTACTACTAATAATAATAATAATAATAATCACAATGTGTTATAATTGTTTTTCTGCATGCTATCAATTGCCTCTTTCCTAATAAACACGTCTTACACAATATGTACATGTAGTTAGTTAATGTACAATTCAATAATTACACTTCTAATTCTTAATATCATCCAAAATTATATTTTAATATAAAGATTGTTATTTGTAATGAATCATACACTTTAATTATTTGCATTTTATTAACAATAATAATTATTATTATTATAAACAAAAATTCGTTTGTTTGTTTGTTTATTTATTTTTTCTGTTTTGTTTTGATTTATAAATTAATCTCAATCATCTATCATAGTAACTGTATTCATTCTTTCTAATATTGTGTATATTAACTATGTTAGTAGATGAATATAGGGAAATACAAAATAAATTAAATAATAAGTTATATTTATAATGTTTCATTGAATAAATTTTATTTAATATACTATATTTTTTTCTTTTTTTTTCTCTTTTGACTGATTGTCGTTGAATAAACGAAAAAAAAACAACAACTAACATTTAGATAAATTTTATGATTGTTTACTATGTTGATTGATGATGAGAATCAGTAAACTGTTATTTATTTATTTGTAAGATAAACAAAAATTCAATTTTTAAAAAAATTATTTTATTTGTTGAAAACATTTTTTATCCTGTTAAAACTATATGTATGTACGTACTGTTGATGAGTCCCATACTAGGGAGAAACAGCCGTTCAGGCATCCGATGGTGTTCAAACACTGATCAACTTATGATTTCAGTAAGACTCAACAATTTCCCCCAAGCTACTGATACAAAAAATAATCAATAATTATGTAATTAAGCAAAAAAAAGTAGTTTATTGCATTATTTGTTCAAACACACTACTGTACATGTGAAAAAGGTTTTTCTTCTCAACAGATGAATTCACGAATCAATCTCAGCTAGACCACCATCAAAAACCTGAATGCATTGATCGGCATTTTCATTCTTGTATGAGACTTCACAGCAATGGGCATCCACAATCCTGCATGCGAGAGGCGAACTCAGGGCCTTTCTTTTTTAGACCACTGAGACGGCATCAGTTTTTTACAGATTTAAGTCTAAATTGATAATCTAAAAAGTGACCAGATTTGAGGCAAAAACACATCGTTTAAAATTGTAGAATGTATATTTCGGACAGTTTGTGAAATAAAATACATTTCTTGATCTTGAAATGACTGATAACCAGTTTTAACGTGAATAAGTTTATTCGTTAAGTATGTTTGTCAGACTAATAATCAAGAATAAAAATGGATAACAGGGTAATTACGAATCCAATTAAATGTTTATAGGATGATGATTTATGGATTCAATAAGAAATAATAAAGCGAGGTGAATGCTAAAAATACTATTGATAAGAATAACAGAGACGTTGCACTAATAAAAATTATGTAAGGAGATGTGGATAGAAATAAACAAACTAATATTTTACGAAGACAATGAGTATGTAATTTGGGACACTCTATGTTTAGAATTATTGTTGCTTCATTGGCCATGAGGTTGATCAGGTTAAGAGAAGAAGAGGTTGGACATATTTTCTTTGCACATGTATTTTCAGTTTTTCGATCCGAATGACTTTTACTTCTATTTACAGGAGTAAGTTCGATTGACATTTGGAGAAAATTACTAGCCCGATGAATTAATTGGGAAAGATTGACTTTAACTGGCACTATGGCCAGTTTGCACCAAACGAGCCAGTATTCAGATGTTCACTGTCTTCACAACACCTTTGTTTTGCCACACTGTGTGATTTTACGAGCATGAAAATGTAAATTTCTAGAACTTTGGCCGATATAATTTCTTTAGCAAGAGCAGTTCAATTATTAACTACTAGATAAAATGGCTGTCGTAGGTAATTCATCTTTAGCCAAGCTTTCACAATTGAATGTGTGGAAAACACTAGTTTTAATTCTTGGAATTAAATGTTTTCTGGATTAGTATTCCACTGTACGCATCCTCTATAATTTATTGTGTACTTTAATTATAACTAAGTAAATGCGTAAAGGTGATTGATTTTATCTTCAAGGCTTATTGATATATGTTTATTTGCGAATGCTCAGCTGACTCTGCCTTCACATAAACTTCAACTCGAGTGATGATTATACATAAGAACCCGATTGTCAAAGCAAGCTGATAAATGATAAGGCAACTGTTAAGAGAAACTGACAAAACGATAGATACTAGGTCATTTTAAGATTTATAGTGATTATTCTCAGCTCAACGTTTCAGTTTCTTCTTTAATACAAAAAATGAAGCATTTTCAAACTTGAACAGAATATCTAAGCAAACAGCAAGCCTTGGAAAAATAGTAGCAGAATTGGAACATTAAGTTTCTAGTTCATCAGAAAAAGATAAAATACTATGATAATCTAAGCTACCTAGGGTACTCAATCACACTTCCTTATATTTCTATTTGATTAATTACTTAGTCGATAAATTTACTTTTGGCTACCTCATGACTCTTGTTTCATAAAAAGCACTTCAATATATGTTCACTTCCTCTATTTTAAAACACCAAGTGTTAAGCTATTGTTTTGCTACTGTAGTAAGTTTTTGACTCGCCGTTATTATTATCAATCCTAACGGTGTTTAAAATCAAAAGGCTATAGGAAGCTGCGACTACCACACAGATCATAAAACTACAGACCTATTGAGAGGATTTGGAGTAGAGAGGATAATATGTGTGTGCAATCGAATGCAGAGGCAAATTTATAGTCAAATGGAATCAAGGTGCAGCTAGGCAAAGAAAAGACTAATAATAGAATTTCAGTGCATATATACATGAAGAAGAGAATGATTAATCCAGATAAATTTAAAAGATTAACATTTTCGCTAATGAGAGACGTGTGCGTAGGCTGTCACATGTGATCAAGTTTACTCGTTTATACAGACATGATAGTGATCATAGTATTACAAAGAAATAGACAAATCGTTACTGATCTAATAACATTGCCTGTTGAGTAAGTTGATAAAAAGGCTTAACAAAATTTAACCATAATTGAAATTGATTGTAGGAGAGTTGCTATAAATTTATCGAAAGGAATTGTAACAGAATATACATTTATTGTCCTATACACTTTTTATTTTGGACTTTGTAATTATATGTTTCTTCTGGTTGCTATTAGCCACACATACAAAAACGTATGTAACAGAAATAAATATACCGACGATAAATTGTTACTCAGATCGATAATTTATTTCCCTCTACTTATCATATATCATATATGAATAATTTGAATTCCTCCCATAGAAAAATCCTTACATTAATTTAATGAAAAATATTTTCAGAGTATTATAAGATATATATTTTTGCACATGTACCACTTATGCAATTATGGATTTACGGTAGCCACACCTTTCATAGAAAAATGTATTTAACTTAACTCACTAATGTATCCAGTAAATGTAATGTCATTCATTTCTTCATCTCTGACCGATTCTATACAGTACGACTATTAAGAAAGAACTTATACTAGTTAGCTACCAGAAACGCTAGTAAATTTCAAGCAAAAATATGGACGGTAGTAATGTAATTGCATGAAAAAGGATGACACACAAACCAGTTGTTTGGAACTAGGATAGGTCTTTATTCTTATTTGATAAAAAACAATTGAAATTATTTTGACGTGTAAAGAAACAAGTGCCTCGAAAAAGACAATTAAGCAATAAACTCATTTTTTTAAGGGTTTTGTGAAGGTTATTCAAATCTAGGTCTTACATGACAACTCAACTGGGATTTTGATCTAGAATCTCCAATCTACATAGTTAACGCTTAAACTTTAGACCACTTAGTCAGCTTCATATAGTTTGCATTTCTAAGTTCAGTCACCTTCCATGCAATGATATGTCACTATATTATTCACGACATTAATAAACCGAACCGGTCATAGCTTTTTATTAGAACTCTTGGGTCTCGGACACACACTCTCGAGGACAAAACTAGAAATCCATCACTAAAAACGCAATCCTATTCATGTGTATCTGCATGAGGATTTGTGAAGATTTTCACGGTTGAAATCACGAGTTGAACTAAGATAAACCACCATTGAAAATTTTGAACCACTATACAGCCGTTTTGTTCTATTTTAGGACTCCCAAGTGGTGCACACCCACGATCCTGCACGTGAGATTTGAAATCAAGACACTTGGCTTTGCATGTAAACGTTCAACTTCTTGATCGTTGAGCTTTCATCCGACGATGTTATGTTCAACTTCAAGCAATCTTGGATCTTGTGCAACCCTTCATTTATCCCAGTACTATCACATGCATTAGAGCAAAGATCAGTCTAACCGTGGATTCGTTAAAGATTTATACGTACTTTATCACGGTATTTGTGTACAAATATTTTATGAAGTCAATTAAATAACTTTTTGAGACAATGATATTGAAATTTTATAACAGCTCTCAATTAAAACAAACGTCTGTACTATTTTATAACCCAATAATAATATATATTAATCGAATAGGGGAAAATAAAATAGAACTTTCCAACATAAACTTATAGATGAAATCTAAATTGTAAGAAGCAAGCATTTCATGTCATTTCACCTTTATTTCCCAATCTTTTCATTCTACTGTACATTAAAAAGCTTTCCTTTTCATTCCTATATTATTTGTGTTCGTAATATTAGGGTTTTTTCATTCGTGCTTAAGTAATGAATGAAATAGCTGTCTGAATTTCAATAAAAGAACTAATAGTCTTTGTCGTAATTTCGATTGACTTTAGACTATAGTTTAATTGACTCATGATTTCAACTGTGAAAATATAGTTTAATTGTTACTTGTACATTAAAAGATTTGGTAGAAGAAATAAATATACTTAATTCTTATGTACACTAATTTGTTTATATAATTTTCAGTTGAGTTGAAAGTGATTATAATTTAATATTTGGTGTGTCGTCCTTTTTTATCGTGATCAAAGTGTCAAGTGGTTAGGCTGTGGTGAACCAAAATTTGAACTAATGTGTACTAGTTAGTAAAGTGTACTAAAGAATTTCTTCGATTGAATTTGATTAGCGTTAAAGGACTAGATCAACATAGAATAGGCCAACAACTTATTGATCAGTCAGTGTTATCAACCCATCTATTTCAAAATCCACAAACGAATTAGGAGTGTTACAAAAGCCATACCGTGGTGATTTACATTTTAATACTCTCGCAACAAGTTACAAATTAAAAAGAAAATGATTGTTCAGTTGTTAATTTATTTTTATTGAACCAGTCTTTATGTACCTTGTTTCAAGACCAAAATCAACTTGTCATTAATGGTTATTTAATAAATAGATTGCTGAAATTGTGATAAAAAGAATTCATAGTTAATTTGTTGTAATTATGCTTAGAGGGAGACAAGTATGTTTAATGTTTTTTGATAATCGTCAAACTATTATCACCAATCGATTGAAGTTGGCAATGTTATTTGTTGTTTATTAGACTGTGATCGAAAATCATATAGTCTACTATTTATAGTTTCAGAATTATAACTTTGTTTGAAGTAAAAATCGGTGACATAAGAGTTTTTTCATTGCTATGTCGTTTTCATCATTTCTTCAACCAACCTCCTTTTTTATTTCTTAAAACACTAGAAACAGTCGATCTCCATTAGAAAAAACAACCATATTGT